AAGATCTTCTTGATCTCATCCAAGAAATTCTGGGGATCTTCACCAGTCTGTGATCCTAAGAACTCTGGAGGATTCATCCTAACAAAGTCACGGACCCTTGCTGCTGCTGATCCACCATTTACATTCACAGGAGCTTGAACCCGCTGATTGTTCTGGTTAGCGACACTCTAAGCCAACATCTGAATGGCATTCCTGAATTCAGCATTTGAGACTTCCTGATCTGGAACTGGAGGAGCTGCGTTTGCGTTCCTGGCATTCGTATTCCTGACATAAGCTCTACGAGGAGGCATGATCACTGAAACGTAGAACGTCGAGTTAGAATGGTATTAGATCATACCTTACGCACGATAAGAGTAACAAGAAAATGAAGATTTTTCCTAAGACACTTTGTAGCCTCTCTCTCATTAGATGTGGTGCGCACTACACACCCATGAAAAGGACTCTACCTAGTGCGGCTTTTCAGACATCCTAGGACACTTAAACCTAATGCTCTGATACCAAGTTTGTCACGCCCCGAGCTACCCCCAAGACGCGGACACGGGACCTAGGACCACAAGTGATCCCAAGCTAACCCTGCTGGCATGATCATGAGCATACTAAAGAAAATAAACTGATGCGGAAGCTAATTCATAATTAAATCTGAAAAGATGGGGAATACCCATATACTATAACTGAATATATCAAATCTGAGAGTTTAATACAAAAGAAATATCAAACTCAAAACACTAAGATGAATTAACTATGTCTGAAATCAGCCTCTAAACTGACTAGAAATGTTGGGACAGGCCCTAGCTAAGTCTAGCAAAAACTGAAACTAAAGGACTAGAATACTGAAAGGAAACTCATGACTATTGTCCCCGAAGAATGAGGACTCACCAACTGATTCTGCTGAACTGAAGATCGGGAATCGATCTAAGCGTGATCTGGATGCTGAGAACCTGAACCTACATCACGAGAAGATGTAGCGCACGTATGCATCAGTACTTGAGAGGTACTGAGCATGCAGGATAGAGTAAAGCTGAAAGAACATATAACTGAACAAAGCAATAAAGCAATGAAATAATCTGAACATGATATAGATACTGAAAATACTGAATACTGAGCTAACTGATGCAATGACCAAATTTATAACATGCTGAGACTGAATACTAACTGTACTGAAATATGGTCAATGCAATAGAGTCTGACTGAACTGTGGGAGCTACTAATAACCGACATAAAACCTCATGAGTTAAATGTGGAGTCCGATGTTACGCCCCATCGAGAGGACCCAATATACCCTGCCAGAGGTATAAAGGCATGCTGGCGTGATCACTAAACTGATGTTGTCCACAGAGGGGACTTACACCTACGTGGCTCGTAGTTCTGGGACTATATGGGTACGCTGAAACCCTAGTCCAACTCGGTATTATGCTACTCCCAATGAATTAAGTAGTTAACTGGTTATGACTGAATTTCTGTAAATACTGGATAGCTCGAACTGAACATGCAAACTGAGAATGCAACAATTAATCTGATAATGATGCATTCATAAACTGAGGCATGTAAAACTGAATACTGAAATATCTGACCTAGCATATGTAATTCAAGAACTAAAGAAATACATAGCTAGGGTTCTGAAATTCATGCGATAAACTGAGCAATAACATGATAATCTGATTTGGAACATTTAAATAACTAATTCATGATGATCTGCTATAATTCTAGAAACCCTAGGTCTGTTCATAATCATGGAATCAAGAATCTGACTGAATTCTAGGGACCTAATGGGCGAAAGGAATCCACTAGTGAAATCCCACATACCTGGTGACGAATTCCACGGAGAAATCTTTCAATTTCGGGGCTAGAACTGATGGAACCTTGCTGCGTTCTTGAACTAGGGTTCTTGACCTTTTTCTCCCTTCTTGCTTCTAATTTTCTAAGTTTTGATTAATGAATTTGACTTAGGTAAGTTCTAGTTATGTTTCTAGACTTAAACTAATTAAAACCTCATGATTTAGGGTCTAAACGACGTATCTTAGGGGTTAAACGAAATAGGAAAAGACCAAAGGACCCCTGAATTAACTGCTGTCGGAGTGATCTACGGATTGGACCTACGGTCCGTCAATCAATCGACGGTCCGTCGATTGGGTCCGTAGATTGAGTCTGCCCGACAGGGCTTCACTAAAACAGGAGTAACTTTTTACTCGGAGGTCGGAATTTAGTAAACTTGGTGGAGTTGGAAAGATAATTCAATTATCTATCTAACCATAGGTCATGGGACACATAATTCGTTTTGTGCTAAAAGTTATGACCATCTGAAGTTGACCCATCAGAATTTTCAGCTAACTGACTGCTAACCTTTGATCTACGGTCAGACCTACGGACCGTGGATCGAATGACGGTCCGTGCCGGTCAACCGTAGTTCGGGACTGAAGCTAGGCTTTTGGGGCATCGATCCACGGACACGAACTACGGTCCGTGACCTGACTTACGGACCGTAAGTCCGGCCGTGGGTCAACACTTAGCCAAATTTTCTAACTGAGTTCTGGGGAAGTTTTCTGTCACTAACCACGGACCTGCAGGACGGACCGTGAGTCCATCTACGGTCCGTGGATGGTGTCCGTGAGTGCCACCTGTAACACCAGAAATCTGAAATCTCTATTTTCGGATACGGGGTGTTACAGGAAAAGTCACAACTCATCGAAAAATCACAACCCTTTGAAAAAAGTCACAACGAAATTCATAATATTATAACTTAAAATGTAAGAGAGTGTGAATAACATTAGCAATAATTAGTAATAACTAAGAGTATTTATAATGCTATAACTAAAGAATTAATGTGCAATAACTGAATTTCTAATAAATTTTATACTTACATAAATAAATAGGACTTTTAATTAATGTCACTATTTTTTATAAATATTAGATTTTAATTTAGTGTAAGGACAAAATGTAAATGTTTATTCCATATTACTGAACATAAAATTTATTTAGTAAATGATCTATAAATTTTAAGTGAATCATATATATTCACATATTTTTCCATTTATTGTGTGTTTTATTTTTTCAAAAAGAACTTGAAACATTTAAAAATAATATATTTTGAAGTTAGAAGATCTTGTTTACTTGATAATACATTGGTGACATATATAATACTTTAATTTATATATAAATACCTATCCACATATAAATATTTATTTGCATTAATGAAACTATTTATCTCATAAAAATTAGCTATTAAATAAATAATAAAAATTAAACTAATACAAATTTCAATTTGCGTTATTACAAGTCATATGATCTTTTTTCGTCTAAAATACAGAAATATTAAGAAATAGTAAACAAGTAAAACAAAAGACCAATGTTTATATAGTAAATAACTATTTTGAAGCAAACTTCATGACAATCTAAATCACATAAGTAACATTGATAAATAAAGTCATTCTTTTGTCTTCGCTATCAAAAAAACAAATCTGACGATTCTCTAAATTATGGAAAAAGATATTCAGAAGCATATATCTATATCACAAGAGAAATTGTTAACAAAAACAAATGAATTTAGACTATATCATGTTAACTTAATATATTGGAACATTACACACTAATGTATATATTAAGCAAAAAAAATAATTATTATATCATTAAAATTATTTTTCTCAAGTACTTGAGGTTATTGAATATACCTCTTAGGATAGAACGATTTACTTCATCAGAATAGTGGTACCTCATATTCCGCTAAAATTTGAACTCACTCAACGACAATAAATCACACAAAAAAATTAAAATTCAAGAAGAAGAAGAGTAGAAAATTAAAAAAAATTGCGGTTGAAAAATGAGAGGAAGACCCTCTATTTATGGTCAACAAAGGGTAGTATGAACAAGTGTTTTTTGTGTCTTATATGAAAAGTCATGACCTTTCTGAGAAGTCACAATTCTTTGGAAAAGTCACAACTTATTGAAAAATTCACAACTCTTTGGAAAAGTCACAACTCATCGAAAAATCACAATCCTTTGAAAAAAGTCACATCTTATCGGAAAAGTCACAACTCATCGAAAAAGTCACAACCTAAGTTAGGGATATTCTAGTAATTTACATTCAAGTTAAGAGTTCATGTTTTTAAGGTAATGTAGATATATATAATTGCACTGAAGTGAATGAAGCTCCGCGATTGCTGATGTGTACTCATCCTTCATCCATTCTATCCCTTTGAATGTTTAATATATATCCTTGTAGATTTACCTGCATTATTATTGATCATTATTTAAACTTGTTCAATATTTTAAGAAGTATCACATTCGATAAATTCATTACAGTGATCGAATTTATTTTTGTTTTTTACTCTTACAACACAAGATTTATATTATTACAATGATCAAATTGATTTACTCAAATATCCAGGTTATATCTTTTTATATTTTCTTTTGTTGTTGTTTGCTATTTGTTAATCAATTTAATTCTATTTTTTCCTGACTTATTACGTTTTCTGCATCTTCGTGTATTGTTTATGAAATTTATGAATAAATTAAATAAAAGTGACTTAATAAAATTAGTGTAATAATGCAAATTTTTAATAAGTAGTCTAAATATGTTTTTTTGTTTATAATAAAATATTTTAAAAAAACAGAAAGTCTTTAATTTTACAAAAAATTTATTGCTAATATTTATATTGGTCAAAGATTAATTCAAATTAATAAGATGTATCTATTTATTTACAATACAATCTATTGGATGATATTGTATAAAACTTTATTACTAATATAAAAATATGAATAGTAAAATTCAACATTTCTAAACTATTAGTAGTATTTAATATAGACAGACTTTTTTTTTATAAAGTTTGAAAAAAATATAAATGCTATAAGTATTATTTAGGTGAAAATAAAATGATAAAGCTCACCATTAATGTCTAATTAAAAACTGTGGGCCCCTTAATTTTTTTTGAGAGGCTATCAGCAAAGGCTTCTCCCTTGATGCCACCGCTGCAAATGAAGTTAACCCCAGTTTTCTATTCAAGACAAGAAAACAAGAATTCAGTGGCATGAATTTTCTTTGTTTAACTTTACTGCTTCACTTCACAATTGGGGGTTTTAATCTTTTTCTCTTTGGGAGTTTTCAGCTTGTCAGAAGTGGAAAGGAGGCATCTTTAGAATGTAACTGGTGTTGAGGGGTTCTTGAATTTGCATACAGGTATGGAGACTCCATTGGCTAATCTTGGGTCGAAAAAGCTAATAAATAAGCATGAATTTGTTAGGGTCATCATTCAATGTCTATATTCTTTAGGTTACAGAAAGTCTGCTGTGAGTTTGGAATCAGAATCTGGGATTAGCTACAAATCTGATGAATTTGAGACTCTCGAGTCTTGTATTCGTGATGCTAATTGGGATGCATGTATTGAAACCCTTAATAGACTTAATGGTTTGACAAATGAAACGAGAGCTTCAGCTTTGTTTCTTGTTCTTAAACAGTGGTTTTTAGAGTATTTGAATCTTGGGGAAGATTCTTTAGCTTTGGAGATTTTACAGAAAAAAATGTCTGGTTTAGAAGTGGGGAAAGATAAGGTTCATACGCTTGCTTTTGGATTGCTTTCCTTGAAAGACTTGGGGTTGGATAAGGAAGATCCTGATGGTATCTATAACTTCAGAAAAAAATTGCTGACTGAACTTGAAAAAGTACTGCCACCACCCATTACAGTGCCGGACCGAAGGTTAGAGTACTTGGTTGAAATGGCAGTATGGTCACAGATAGATAAATGTGTGTTTCATAATTCAGTTGATTCCGTTACGCTCTATGAAGATCACCAATGTGATGCCAGTCAGTTTCCTTCAAAGACCATTCAGGTGGATAATCTTTAAACCATATTTATAGCTTTCTAGCTTGAACATTGAAAGGACCATGTAATGCCTTAGTTTTTAAAGATTGCATCTGGTCTAACAAGCCTAATGTTATTTAAATGATTACTTTAGTTTGATCCATTCGTTTTTAGCTCAATAGGATTTCAGATTATCACGTTTATTGACGTATACTTCAATAGTTTAATTGGTGCTCAACATTTATACCCTGGAAGTTTACTTTCAATATCTCAAAACTGGTTCCCTGCTACCTTTTTGCTAATCATAGAAAATTCACGTTGCTGAATACTTAGTATGTCTTTCATTCAGGGATGTGCACACTTTTGGACCAAATTGAAAAGGTAAGCAGGACAATTATATGGGATATTTCCCAAGTTCACTAGGAATTGAACTAGTTTGCCTTTTTATGAGGTCCTTTCTTTTTTGACCTGAATGGACTAAGACAGTGTATCAAAGAACTCATATGAGCTCATCACAAAGTTTTTTTTCCCGAGTGGTCTAATTTGTTCTTCAGATAAGTGTGGGAAGATCCAAGACTAAGTTAGTCGAGGAAGCTACATTCCCAGCAGTACTGCACATCCTGAAAAGGTCATTTAATTATATCATTAATTCGACTATCTTTTGTTGGATTTACGAATCATTGTCTCAATAAGCTTCCGAGGCTAGGCAAATTTGTAGAATGTTAGTAGCATTGCAATTACATTCGGTGATAAACGTTACTTAATGACTTTCAGATGATCTAGCCACAAAGAAATTGCCAACTACTATTAGTGGTTTTCTATTATAGAATCTTTTGATGTGTGGAAATCATGAAGATTGGACTTATCACACCATTATCATTATTAATTTTTCCCCTTCCTAATTTGTTATCATTGTTTGCCTAGCTTCTCTCTAGGATATATTTATTTAATGTCTTTTAACACTGTTGCAGATCCTGTCTAACCACGTAAATGAAGTCTGGTATGTCCAGTTCTCAAACAATGGAAGCTACCTGGCCTCATCATCAAGTGACAACACAGCCATCGTTTGGAAGGTTTGTTCACGCTATCACACTTAAGATTACTGTGCAAGTCTGAGAAATCCAGGGCTTTACTCCTAAATTAATTTGGGTTGTTCCTGTAAATTGCTGAGTTGTGCTGTTGAAAAAATAAAGCTAAATCAAGGAGAGAGCGGTGAGCGGATACTTGTTAAGGATCATAGCCCTGAAGCTTTGGAATTCCATAAGCTAGGAATTTGGTTGAATTAACCTATTTACGTTGTCTGAGTGAATACTTTCATAGTATAAGCCGGAGAAATTTGTTCTTTACTTTTTGCAGGATGAATTAGAAATGGAGGAATAGGGTTCTGTTGAATCAAACAAAATTAAACAGAAAAATTACTTATTCGGCTTTGCTTTCTTGATAAATGTTACCAAGAAAGTCATGTTTTAATTGCGGGTCCGTTATGCATTCTCAAAAGTTTGTATAAGAAACTTTTCTTTCTTTGGTCAATTGAATCTTTTATCAAGAAATTGTGTTCAGTGAATACTTTAGGTTGTTTGCTTGCCGGTAAGGTTCTTCGCTTTGCATCAAATTAAATCACATGCTCAGTTTGTGTGCCCCCCATCAATTCCTTTGAGTTTCATTCTTGCGAACGTATTCCCCAGGTGGGATACTTAATGCGTTAGCTACAACACTGCACGGGTCAATACGCCTAGCAGAAAATGATCTTGTCAACAATTTTGTTTCATGGGAAAAAAGTAAGGAAGTGGTACGGTCATCAAAAAAAGAAGAAGTAAGGAAGTGGTTTCTAGGTTTATGCTTGGGCTGAAGAATTTTCTTGTAGGAGCTTTCTGTAAAGTGGGCCAGTTGTCTGAAGATGTGTTCCTGGAATGCTCCATCCCACATTTGCTACAATTCTTAAGCTAGTGATTAGACATTTTTAATAAAACATGAAACTTCATATATACTCTTGTTTGTAGTGATTAATACAAAGTATATAACAACAACAACATACCTAGTCTAGTCTCACAAGAGGGGTCTGGGAAGGTAGGGGTAGAGAGGTTGTTTCTGATATAAACCCTCGGCTCAAAAGAGAAATTTTCAAAGCAAGGATTGTTTCCGATAGATCCTTGGCTCAAAAGAGAAGTTTCCAAAGCAAGGAAAATATGATAGCAAGATACAAAGCAAACAAAACCACATAAGAGAGTGTTATGAAGTGTAAAATAGAATGTAAGATTTAAATAGTTTTTAATATAATAGAAGTATAATTAAATAGTTCCCACAATAAGAAAGGTGCAGATCTTTATGAATCGACTAAAATGAAGAAAGTATTATATAAAATGAAATGGAGGGAGCATATTTTAGGTGCCAATCTTTTTGAATCGACCAAAAAGAAGAAAGTATCATTTAAAATGAAACGGAGGGAGCATATTTTGCTTTATTTTGAAACAAAGTGAAACATCCCAGTGCAAAAAAAATCATAGTTTCAGACCATATCAAACTAAATTTAGAGGCAACATGCCAAGAATTAGTCAACCCCAAAAGCCAAATATCTCAAAAAACCAAAAATATTATGAAAATGGCCGAAAAGCCCCTAAAGAAAATGAATGCAAAATCAAAGCAGACTAGTCAAGTAAACCAGAAACAATCTAAAAGTCATTTATGTGCATAAGAACAAAAGCAAACAATCTATTCCGTAATCAAATTAACATGCATAAATAAGATAAAGAAGATGTTGAATTATTAACATCTTGTAAATATAGACAAGTCAACTAACAAATTTACCAAAAACTGATTTAATGGAAATATAGACAAAGTGAAAGAGAGAGAAGCTTACAAGGGTACTTTTGAGTCCAGGATATCCAGTTATGCTGACAAAAAATCTAGAAAAATACCCTAACAAGTACAATCCTAACCATGTCTACAAGCTACAAAACAGTTTCAACCATAAATCACCTGATGTTAACTTGACTATTTCACTTGGTACATATTATCTCCTTCCAACACAGGTACCGCCAGGTACTTTCCCACCAAGTTTTATGTTGGTGAGAAGAGATCACTTGGCATTTTTTTGCCTCTGCTAGGATTTGAACCTTGGTCTCTTATAGTTTTCATCCCACATTGTTAACTGCTAGGCCACATCTTTGGGTGCACATAGGCTTATAACTAACTTGGAGATTTGTGGAGGGATGGGAAAGTTTGCCATCCATAGTTGGATGCTTCATATAGGATCGTAGGTTCAGTATCATCCAAGACAAAGGCAGTCACCACAATTTAATTTCTTACCTAGCTAAATGTTTAAGTGTGATTTCAAATTACTATTCATACTCCATATGAACTATGTGAGAGAGCGTGCAAATGACGAAGCTCGACAATAATTTTAATTGTATGCCTCCTGAAGAACTTATTTCTTTTGATGAAAAATCATTTTGGATGGGGGTGGAGTGGGGGTGGGGTGGGGTGGGGGGAGGTGAGGGGAGTGAATAGTGAAGAAGTGAAAATAATAAGAGGAGATACTCTTGATAGGATTAGAACCTTGCATCTCGGTGGCGTATGTGGATTTGTGACAACTAAGCTGCAGAATTAGCATTTTATCAGCAATAAATTTCAACTACTCCAGCAACTTCATGAACTTTTGGAGGTGTTAGAGCTAAGGTCCCACTGTATTCTAATTTTCAAGAAAAAAAATTACGGCAGTCATGCTTGGCCACTGGAAAGGCAAAGACAAGTTTTAGGATCAACTTTAGAGTGGTCGACCGTTACCAACTTTGATTTATAACTGCATGATTATATTCCTATTGTGCCGTATAACCGTTCTATTTAGGCACTGAGGTTGGAATAGTGTTGAATGGTTACTCTCTCTCTCTGCTGTCTACCACAAATTGATGACAGGGTTAGTTTTTAATGGAGTTTGTCAGGGACAAATTTTACAGCCAATACAAATGGGTCAATGAATGCTTACCGCCATGTTCTTCACAAGAGCTGGCCCCTAAAGACATCGGAAATACATAAATCTAGTCTTAGTTAAGACATCAATCTAGTCTTAGCTAAGACCGCACTTATGATTCCATGAAGACTTTCTTCATCGGGAAAAAAGAAGAATTCAAGTGGACTTCCAGACCTTTTCTTAGTGCATTCCTAGTTTAGGATGGTATGTTATAGTGGTGACATTCATCCCAACAGGTTTGGGAGACATGACATTTGGTTTTGATATTTCTGACAGTTAGTAACTAAGCATTTGGTTAATAAATACCCTTGATGATTATGTACACATATTTTGGTCCAGATGGTGTCGTAAATTATGGATGATTTATTTAGATGCTGATATGCAGAATCTATAAACTTACAACTTACAAGCAACCACGTTTTTAGCAATATATTCAACCTGTTTGTTTTTTTCTCTCTTAATAAGTTCTCTATATTTCTACAGTTCGATATACAGGGCATCAACAAGTTTCGGGGAATGTGGGTTAATCAATCGTGTACAACATAATTATTAGCTTTTATATTCAAGGCCAAAAGGTTCTGATTGACCATTATTTTCTGAGTGAATTTGTTAATTACTTTCAGGTACTGGATGATGGGAAATTGACCCAGAGACATGAGCTGCGGAGCCATGAAAAGCCAGTTTCTTTTGTAGCTTGGAGCCCTGATGATACAATGTTGCTAACCTGTGGGAACATAGAAGTGCTTAAGCTTTGGGACGTGGAAACAGGTACATGCAAGCACACATATGGCGATGCTGATTTCATTATCAGCTCATGTGCTTGGTTTCCTGATTCTAAGCGATTCGTCTGTGGCAGTTCGGACCCTGAAAAAGGCATATACATGTGGGACTCTGAGGGTAATGAGATCAAGTCATGGAAAGGGACGCGGATGCCAAAGGTTCTAGATCTTGCTATTACACCTGATGGAGAAAAACTTATCAGTATATTCTCTGACAAAGATATCCGAATATTGAATGTGGGGACAGGTGGTGAACGTGTGATTTCAGAGGAGCATCCAATCACATCCCTTTCACTATCAGGGGATGGTAAATTCTTCATAGTAAACCTTAATAGTCAAGAGATTCATATGTGGGATATTGCAGGCGAGTGGCTTAGTCCCATGAAGTTTGAAGGTCACAAACAACATAAGTATGTGATACGCTCCTGTTTTGGAGGATTGGACAGCACTTTTATCGCCAGTGGTAGTGAAGATTCAAAGGTATGCTTGTTATTTAATGCCCTCCCCCAACTCCCCACCCTCCAAAAAAATAAAATAAAATCATAATAAGCATGAGATTCAAGAAGTGGTTGAGAACCCTGTGGTCTCAGGTTCAAAACTCAATGGAGACAAAGAAACACTAGGTGATTCTTCCCATCTGTCCTCCTAGCCTTGGGGGACAGAGTTACCCGGTACCTATTGCTGGTGGGAGGTGGCAGGAATCCCTTGATTAGGAGCTTTGTTCTCCTTTAAATGACTTTATAATATGGGGCCCTTTAAAAAAACGGTGCTTATGAGTTAGGACGGCTCCTGTTCTTTTTGGCACAATTTATCAGGGAAATTGGATCCTGTGGTGTCCCTATAAACGGTGCTTGAATTGACTCTATTAGTATCATAATTAGTTTTAATTTACTAATTTTGAATACTAAGATCAATTAGGGTTCTTAGCGCTTATCTAGAAATTTGGGGATTTTATTTTCGAATTCACACATCTTTCAATTTTTGTCTTTAATCTTAATAATTCGCTTCCACATTATTTTCTTGTTTATTCAGGTAACCCGATTCTTATCACCCTCCTTTTTGAAAAATCAACGAACATATTTATCTGCTCGAGCTCTTCCGTCGTTGTCTTGGTGGCATTCATGTCATCTGAGCCATAGAAGGATGTTGGTACTTAATACCTGTCTTGATATGTCTCCTCCACTTCTGGTAATTCATCCCCCATGTCGGTTTGAAGGTCGACTCGGATTTCTATAATTGTTATTTGTCACCGCTTTTGCCTCCATCGATTGCTCTTTGGTCAGTGACACTGCGAACATCTTGCTTGCTGCTAACAGATCTTCTTTGTTTCTGAATTTGGGATCTCCTGATGTCTCTTCTCGAAGCTAAACGATAGCTTAGCCTTTTTCGTTGTCGAGATTGTTACTCTGTTAACCTCTTCCCCCCGATTATCATGTTTATCATATGTCAAGGTGGGTCAAGCTTGGTTGTGTGTTTCCTTCTTTCTCCTTCCTGTAGTTGACATTTCGTGGCACCGGGCGTGACTGAACCATCTACGATGGGGGGAGCTAATGCACAGGGAAGGACTTAGACACGGCCCGGACTCCCACGGGGGGCAGCAGTGGGGAATCCTGGACAATGGGTGAAAGCCCGATCCAGCAACCTTGGCTCGATTGCTCAAAAATTCCCTTAGATAGTCGTTCCTGAGGAGTATGGCCATCTCCAAGGGACACCTCCTCTTGGAGATGCCTATGATCCCCCGTTTTATGTCTGTGTGTTCCATGGAATTCGTATCCCAGGTTTGGGTCCCTAGATCCTTAGTCATAGATTCTGAAAAACGAGCCTCTTTGATGTTTCTCATGGACGCAACCAACTGAAATTGGACTGAAATTGAAACCATACTCCGAGAGCCTCAGGACATATTCAACTGCATGGATCGAGCTTGAGGCTCCAACCACCTCTTTGTTTTGCAGTCTCGTATGGCCTTGATCCCTCCCATTCTGCTTGTCTAACCAAGGTCTATCCACAGGCTGAAAGTTACGACACGAACTTGGCCTCATTTCAAATGGGTATGGAGAGAATCAACTCTTTGCGGGTTTTGAATCCAATTTCTGTCCTTAAGCATTTTGTCGTGAGATCGAAAAAAATTGTCTTCAACTCGGATCTTCGACTCCTACCGAATATTAACAACAACTCAATTCATAGGCTCGAACTCTGTCAGATTTTCTTTTACCTTCAGTGCAGTGATCGAGCTCTCAAGGTTCAAACCCTTTGTAAAAGCCTCTGCATCCCAATCATCTTGAACCATCGGCAGCAAGATCCTTTCTCTCTAGAAGCTTGCAATGAAGACCCTGAGTAGCTTGGAGTCAACATGCTCGATTTTGAAGATGTCTGCTCTTCTGGGCTGCACCTTCCTAGCTCCAGCATATGCTTTGATAAAATAATCTGCAAGCATATTAAAAAAGCCAATAGAATCTTCAGCTAATGAAGAGTACCACATAAGCGTTCCTCCGGATAGAGTTTTCTCCAAACTAATTGACCAAAACTGATTCAACCTCGGCTTTAGAAAAGTTGTTCCCCTTAACGACTGTAATGAAAGACAGAATGTGCTCTTGCGGGTCTGTAGTTCCATCATTTTGGGATATCCGACAACCTGAACCTATTCGAAATAAGTTCCGATGCTGAGCTGGGCTTATAAGGCAATTGAGTGTAACTCTGAGAGTCTGGCCCCCTTCAAGATCGGAGGTGCTCTTGGAATTTGGTTCATTCGGTTGTGCAGCTCCTTTAGGCCCGGCCTGAGTTCCTGCCTGATTAACTCCACCATCGACATTCCAATGTCAGACCCGACCCCCGATCTGTCGGCCCTGCATTCTTCCAAATGGGCCCCAGTTGTGAGACCGATTCCTGAATGTCCTTGCGATGTTGGTGTTTCTGGTGGTGTTTGACCACTTCTTCAGGTGTTGTGAGAAGTCATTGTGGTCAAAATCTTATGTAGCTCCATTACCCTTTTGTCCTGTGCGGTCATGTGGTCCATTATGGACCTGTGTTGAGCAATCAGAATCTGTAGTCTCCTTGAGGTCGTCCATGTCAGTCCTACCTTCGTCCCTTTGATGATTCACTTCTTTGGGGTTCTTTCTCCCACGCCTCTTCGCTTATTCATGTTTATCAGATTAATATCTTCTAGATCAACCTCTACTGCATCAGAAGCTGTGAACGCTATTCTTAAAGACCTGTCCAGTCTTGGGCAGCGTTAGGAAGTTGAACTTCAGCCACATTACCATCGTTTTGGTTCACAATTGCTATAAGTTATATCTAGAACATGAACAGATTTAAGCTAGTAAGTAGAGTAGTGGGTTCAACCAACACCACAACTGTCCTGGCCCCACGGTGGACGCCAAACTGTTTATCAGGAGAACGGTACAATTGAATTTGTTATGAGGTCAAGGACACACGAATTGATTCAACTCATTAATTAGTTTTTTGGCAGATAGGCATGTTAATAAACAAGCTTAATAAGAATAATAATTTAGTAAAATAAGCAAAGGAAACAATACAGCTCAGATGCTTGATGTTTCAGTCTTGTTCTGGAGACAACATAGTGTGACCAATTCCAGATTCAGAGGCATTTAAGCTTATGATTCTTGAGAACTAAGACTTAGCAAAGAATGTAGAATAATAGAAAGGTTGGAGCACAAGAATATCAGTGGATTGCTTCGTATTGTCAAAAATCCAACCCTTTGCAGGTAAGTGAAAACTACTATTTATAGCAACAAAGGTAATACATCAGCCAATAGGAAAGCTCCACTAGAGCCATAAAACTATGTCTAATGGAAATTGGAAATGCTCCACCTGAAAATACCGTTACGCATTCCAGCTAATATTCCCCTGTAATTTGCATGGTCTCGTACTGATATATCAGACGTATCTGTCCTTTTGTCCTTTCATTCTGTCTTCGGGCCACAAATCCCTTTATTCCTCCTTGACTTCGGGCCACGAATTCTCGCCTTTTTCCCGATAATGACCATCTGGTTGACCTGACGATGAAATGAGATCAAGCTAGCCGGACAGTGACTGATCGGGTACTCAAGTGATGAATGGTGTGTTCTTCTCGATCCTCTATGCCAGATCATCTTCCGGCTTCATCCTGCTGTCAGGTGACATCTTTGTAAGCCGCCACATGTACAAGGTAGTTTTCCCCAATACAAATAGTGGGATTGGGATATGGTGGATAATAATCAATTAATCATTGGATTATTTGTGATAACATTGATTATTTGGTTAATCTAAATTTGGATGTAAAGTGAATCTAAAACATTGCTTTATTCTAGATGAAAATTTGGTGTCAAGTGATTTGCTTAGCTTATTAGATCACTTGACATACTATTGGTTTATTATCATATGTTATTAAATATAATGAACATAACATAATTGAGCATTATCAATTTTATCCGCCTTCAAATAGTGTACAATTATTAGAGAAAATTAATATGAGGTATACTAAAATCTTAGATAAACGAATATAGTAAACACAATTTTAGATTCCTCTTCTAACTTATCATTTCAAAATTCATACTACAAAGTACAAATATTATTAAAAGAAACTGTAAGATGATACACAAGAGATGGTTAACTAAACAAGTAGTAATAGTTTAAAGAAATTGCCATTTAGGTGATCTAAGACATCTATTTCTTATTTTGAAGAATGAGTGATGTAATAAATGTATTGCTGGTATGTGGATCCTCATTTGTTTTGTCACTTTGGTACAAAATAATAGCATAAGCCATCCCTTTTTACTTTCCTCTCTGCTCTTAGAACCCCTCTTTGCTTGAACCAAAAATAGCGGTAATCTAGGTGCACTCAATTGTGATTACACCGTGGCCTTAGATTAAGAGATACAGCTGATATATATTATTATGTTGGATTAGTTTCATTTGTCCCATATTTGCACAAATAATGGGCATCTGTTTTTTTTTTTGTTAAACATGGAATTGCTATTATTGCTGTTCCAAGTATGTGATTCCATCCAATTGCTAGTCGCAATGTCAATTCCTCATTTTCTATTGTATATATTGATCCAAGGAAATCATGTGAGATCTTTTGCATTGTTGCAGGTGTACATATGGAATCGCCGAGGTTCAAAGCCTATTAAGATCTTGTGTGGCCATTCAATGACTGTGAACTGTGTGAGCTGGAATCCTAAAAAGCCTCAAATGCTAGCTTCAGCAAGTGATGATCAAACTATTCGCATATGGGGGCCTGATGTTCGAAGTAAATAGTAACGAGTAAGCTGGTGTATGCAGATGGATTTTTCTCAATTGCGAGTTCCATTTGCCATGTAAATCTGTTTCTTTCTACAAATTTTGGCATGTCTGTTCCCCTGTAAATTGGCATTGTTTCCTTCAATAGGGTAGCTAGAAAATAATTTTGGCTCCTCCTGTATGTACAACGCCAATGGAGAAGTAAAACTTTTTTCCTAAAGTTTGATTGAAATTAGTGAATGAAAGAAAGTAAAACTTTCTTATCTCAAAGGTAGTGTCATTGCCTTGTCATTTTAGGCCACAATGATATAATGTAAGTAGAATGAAAGGTCTATTGCTGGCCCTCCTTTTCTTTTTCCTTTTAAAGTTGAACAAAAGTATTGGACTGCGTTGGACGGGTTGAGTTATGACCCATTTTTGCAAACATAAAACATATTGCAACAGTTATATCTACCATAAGTTGTTAGTTTACGAAGCTATTTTAGATATCTTGAATAAGGAGACGAGATGCTTTTTAGGGAGAAGAATCTCTTTATTTACGAACACATGAATCTTTTATCCATTTATTTATTGAAAAGGAAAAAAGGGTAAAAATTATATATATCCAATAACATTGTTTCTTTTTTAGTCGATTCGAGATATAACGGACAAACACGAAACGTTGAGATTAGGTAAGAGTTTTGTTTCTGCAGCAATTTAAAACAACAAAAAATCTGTATCATATAATTTAATTCAAGCAAAAAATCATCATTGCTGACAAAAGGTAATGTGCCATACGTGATATATATAAAAAATGAAGGAGTTGACCAGTCAAATAAACGTTTTATTTTTATTTTTTATATAGAATAGAAAAAGGGAATACTATCATATATATTAGTCTTAATAATTACCTATGGGATTGCAAAGACAGATGGGGGTTGAGTTTGAAAGGAATATTATGAATTGACTAATGGCTAAAAATTAACAAATCAAAAAATGAACTAAGATGGTGTCAGAAGGTAATTAAATTATGGAATTTTCTCTTTGATCCGCGGAATTAACAAGTCAATTCACAAGTGGATGAGATCGATCGAGTGATTTCATTTGGAAATAAAATTATACATATTTATGAATTGAACTAGATTTAATCTAGGGAAAGAGTTGAATTTGTCAACAATATAACAAAAGAATAGTTTTGAATGTTGAAAATGAAAATGTACAGATCAATATAGTAATACAAAATATTATAAAAAAAGATCTTGTTAAACGCAACAAATATTTCTTAAGAGATTACAATTATAAGTTAAATTATCTCAACCAAGAAATAATAGAGTTTAACATCATGTATTGATAGTGTACAAATATGTTTATCACTATCAAATTACTTAAAAAATAAGACAGACAACTTGTTATAACACGATAAAACATTAGTATCTTAACATTTACTTATGAGTTTATAATAATAGCAAAGGTGATTTTAGGAAGAATGAAACTTGTAGTGTTTATCAACAGGAAGGGTTACATCCCAAGTGCAACAAAGTCCTTTGGGAATAATGACAAGATCCCCTGCTCCAAACTCCACTGGTGACATCTCTATTGTATTCTTTGGATACACTTTCACTTTTCCTCTTAGCAAATAACATGTTTCTTCTGCATCAAATTTTAATTGGTATTTCCCTGGTGAACAAGCCCATCTGTTTAAACACAAACAAAAAACAAAAAAAAAAAAAACTCAATGATTGATCATCCTTTTGTTTAATCAAACATATACAACAATAACATACCAGTGTAATTCCACATATGAAGTCTGAGAAAGGTTAGAGTTTCAAAGCAGTTTGAAAAAGGAAATATACACATAAATGAAAGTAGTAACAATAATGATATAATGTGAAATGGAAAATAGTAGACAACATACAGAAGAAAGTATAGTAACAACAATAAAATAAATAATGCTATAATCGAAGCAGAAACAAACACAAGTGATAATCGAATTGTACTCACTTTGGCCAAGATTTTATGCCCAATTCAGAGAGTTGGGATTCTGAAGGGTTGTTCTGGACAATAATTCTTAGATTTGAAGATGAACAAGAATCTGAGTTGGATTGAGCATCCATGAAGAAGAAGAAAAAAAAAAGATATATAGAAGAAAAGAAAATTTTATGAAGAGTAGTTATATATATATATATATATAGTGACCCTTTAGAACACTAAATAAAGGAAGAATCTTTTACTAGGAAGCTATTGGGTTTGTTCTGTGTGAGACTATTGAACTTATATATATATTATTATTATTTATTACATAACATATGGCCAACTTGTCTATATATATACTAGAAGGACATGAGCACGGGACCAACAATAGATTTTTACATTTAATGGTTAGTAAAAATAGTGGCAATGACTACTACAACAGACATCTAAGAAGTAGTTGCATAGGTGGAAACAATGCAAAAAATTATACTACAAACTATTACACTGTATCTTATTCATAGTTTGAAAATGAAATTCTATCATAATACCATTCACTTAAATCCATGGCTGCCACCCTTACACTTCACTTGGCTTCATGACATGAGCAAAATCCAACTGTCTTATCCAGAGAATGATTCTATCAAAAAAGAGGTTAAGTCAATTTACCAATGCTAGCAAAGTGAAGAAAGAATATGAGAGATTGTAACAAAATTGATCACTCTTAAGGTCGTAATAAATAAGCAACAAAGTGTAGATCAATCACTGCACCTACATGGCTCTCCCATCATCTTAAATCTAATGTAGTCAAGCCATACCTACAACACTGAATTTAGATCATAGTGTGCAACAAATGAAACTGCTTGAGATTATTATTATTCTATAAAAATGAATCAATATTATAAATGGAAGATTCAACTCTAATAAAATTTGACTTGCGATTAACGTGGTCTTCAAGAACATCAATTTGTTGATGTCAAGTTCTCCGACTAAGAAAATTTCTAAATCACAATGGACAGCAAGGACTAAATGGATCTATCCTTGTGAGAACCATGTGCGGCGGCTCTGTTAATACTGAGAGAAAAGAGAAGAGAAAAGAAATTTAGAATAGCACTCTCCTGCAACACAGTAGGATTGGATAAAAATAACAAACATGAAGAAGATAGACAAAATGAGTTATTGAGAATATCCATAATTTTGATTTCCCCGGTTCCAAATGTCTTACCTAAATATTTCATCATACAAAATTTCTTTTTACAATATCATTCATCAATCCATCTTCTTATTCTTACTTCAAAGAGCTATCTTTATTAAAAATTAATTTTCTATTTCTGTGAGTTTGAAAGAGATTACATCATTTGAACTCGAGAAAACTATACCTCGTCCACCAATAGAGGCGGGACTTTGATTTCATCTAAACTTCTTGAAGTGACAGCAATCATTAGTTCCCAAATCAAATCCATAGGCAATGCCAATCAACATAAAAATAAAGTCAAAATATCAATCAGATGATCAATACTCACAAGATAAAAATAGGAAAACAGAATACATCACCTTAACAAATATTAATTAGTACAGTAATTTTTTTATCTCTATCTCAAAAACACAAAAAGAAGGATTAAACTCCTGGAGAAAAAATTTATATGTATAGACTCTTGTGGAATGAATGACATGAGATTTACAGGCTCCAAATACAATAGGTGTAATAAACGGAGACGTTGTAAAGAGATTTAGATGAGGTTAGATAAGAGTTTTTGTTAATGACAATTGGGCTTAGAAGTACTTTATCAACACACCTGGTTAGAACAGGTTCTGATCAGAGACCTACGTAGCAAGAAGAATAGGTGGCTCGATCAATATAAGCACCACATTGTTGAACATTTTATTATATTGTTTCAAACCTACAGACACCCTTTCATTTATGTTCTACCTTAATAAAATAGAAAAGCATCAAGGTTTAAATTTCAATAAAAGATGTCTACTAATGGGATAAGGGTCTGAAAAATACTCCTTCCAACTTTGATCGAATTTGCTGTTGCGATACTAAACTTTCATGAGGACCTCAAATATATATGTTTAAAATACGGTATTGAATAGGTCCTCATGAAAGTTTAGTATTGCAACAGCAAATCCGACCAAAGTTAGAGTATTTTTCAGACATTTATCCCTCTACTAATCATCAATTAGTGTGATAATTAAACGTCTTAACGATATGTATTTCATTCAATTACAAAGGGATGTAATTTTATAGACATCTTGGAAATATGGTCCTGAATTAATTGCTTGTTCATCAACTGATTGTTCAATTTAAAAGAACAATTATACTGTATTCCAGAAATATAATTAACTGATGTAAAATTTACTTTCAAAAGTTTATCTTTTCATATGCAACAGAATTGTTCATAATAATTGACGGGAATTGAGGAAAAGATTAAAGAACACATGCAACTAAAACCAACATAGTTGATAAAAATGAATCTTAGAACTTACATTCCTCCCATGTATCTCCAATTTTTCATTAGCACATATCATTAAAATTTTAAGTCATGGTTTGAAGCTAAATGTAATCTAAAAAATAAACTACTACAAAGAGGAATCCGTAAAGTAGTACATTGAAAAAAGAATTAATAAAAGGAAGTGTGAATTGACCAACAAAGTCCAATTTATGCTCCACTAATCCTACAGCTCTGTGTACGTTTTGATTTGTAAGCACACAAAATTAGCTTATGGTAATATCCTATTAAGGCGTAAATAGTCGATCCAAAACGCTCATGAAGTTGGAATTTTCTATTGCATAGTTGGTTTCTAATTCTAAATTATTGCTTTCGTTTAAAGATATTTTCCAATTCAACCTTTGCATTAATTCATTGAGTAGACATATTATTAGGATATGAGAAAATATAACCTTTCAATTGCCAAGAAGTTGTCAGATTTCTTGTCGGCTTTTCCTCCTTTTCAGCATAATATTTTTGTTTTTTACTTTCTATGCTATTTTTCTAACGATTTGAAGGTTCTTCATCGTGAACTCGATCAAGTAGGACAATGTCAATTGAACAATATTCAATTTGGCTACTGCAAATAGAAAGGAAAAACTTCAAATCGTTAGAAAAATAGCATAGAAAGTAAAAAAAAAAATTGGAAATTACCCAATTAATCCTTCGCATCTAAGTTTAAAATACACTTTACCTTCTAATACAAACATCCAAAAAATATTTTGACAAATTGCAAAATTACAAAATTATAAGACCACAAAAATTCAATCAAAATGCAAGAACAAAGAACTCCAAAAAAAAAAAAACAGATGAAATTTGTTGAGAATT